TAACCTAGTCATGTGACATATCAAATTAAAGCATTTTTCATGGGGAATTCAATAAAATTAGTTCGGTTGGTAACTTATTGACAGGCGCCATTTTGAATTTTTTTAAAATCAACATAACCTAGTCATGTGACATATCAAATTAAAGCATTTTTCATGGGGAATTCAATAAAATTAATTCGGTTGGTAACTTATTGACAGGCGCCATTTTGATTTTTTTTTAAATCAACATAACCCAATCATGCGACATATCAAATTGCAGCATTTTTCATAGGGAATTCAATAAAGTTAATTCGGTTGGTAACTTATTGACAGGCGCCATTTTGAATTTTTCTAAAATCAACATAACCTAGTCATGTGACACATCAAATTAAAGCATTTTTCATAGGGAATTCAATAAAATTAATTCGGTTGGTAACTTATTGACAGGCGCCATTTTGAATTTTTTTAAAATCAACATAACCCAATCATGCGACACATCAAATTGCAGCATTTTTCACGGGGAATTCAATACGAACGAAATAAAATCGATCGATGCGATGAATCGAATTAGTTTTGAGAAAATCGGGGAAAAATGTCGTTTTTTAAAAGCAATCAAAGCATTAAGATGAAGAAGAGTCCATCACCCACCTTTTCCTATCTTCCTTTCAGGCGACCACGTTAATGGGCCTCCTGAAGACCGCTCGTTTACTGCGTTTAGTACGTGTAGCTCGAAAAATCGATCGTTATTCGGAATACGGGGCGGCCGTCCTACTCCTGTTGATGGCTACGTTCGCGTTGATCGCGCATTGGTTAGCTTGCATATGGTGAGTAGAATGAGTTAGATTAGAATATTAAAATTAAAATTTAGGCTGCATCTTTAGAGAGTTTTTAATTAATTTGATTATTTAATTTAATAATTCACCTCTTTTTTATGAAATAAATTTACTTACAAAGAATTTTTTGATTTAGGTATGCAATTGGAAACGCTGAAAGATCTATGTTGGACGCAAAAATTGGATGGTTGGATAGCTTAGCTCACGACACCCAACAAGAATATACAAACGAAACGGGAAGTGGTCCGAGTATAAAAAGTCGCTATGTCACCGCCTTGTATTTTACTTTTACTTCGTTAACAAGCGTCGGATTTGGTAACGTCGCTCCAAATACCGACACAGAGAAGATTTTTACGATACTCGTCATGCTAATCGGATGTGAGTTAAAATTAAAACTTAATGAATCATCTTAATGAATTAATTTTTAGCTTTAATGTACGCAAGCATCTTCGGCAACGTTTCCGCAATCATCCAACGTTTATATTCAGGAACCGCCCGTTATCACACCCAAATGTTGCGCGTGCGCGAATTCATCCGATTCCACCAAATCCCCCATCCACTCCGACAACGTTTAGAAGAATACTTCCAGCACGCGTGGACCTACACGAATGGAATCGATATGAATTCGGTTTTAAAAGGTTTCCCGGAATGCCTCCAAGCGGATATTTGCCTACATTTGAATCGAAATTTGCTACAAAATTGCACGGTTTTCGACGGTGCAAGTCCCGGATGTTTACGGGCGTTAACTTTGAAGTTTAAAACAACTCACGCGCCACCTGGTGATACGTTAGTGCACCGCGGCGATGTTTTAACTTCGTTGTATTTCATTTCAAGGGGACAAATTGAAATATTAAGAGACGATATCGTCATGGCGATTTTGGGGAAATTCGATATTTTCGGGGAAAACCCCTGCGTTCATTCGACGCTTGGAAAATCAAGCTGCAGCGTTCGAGCTTTAACGTATTGCGATCTTCACAAGATTCACCGCGATGATCTTTTGGACGTCTTGGATCTTTATCCCGAGTTTTACAACAATTTCATGAATAATCTCGAGATAACGTTTAATTTAAGAGATGTAAGTTGATTTATTTATTGGGTTTTTTAATTAATAATTAATTTTTTAGGATGATCAAGCGGGTGTTGTCTCAAAACACCATTTTTATCCGAGATCTCAGTCGCAAGATCGCGATCGGGATCGATATTTGAGGAGTTTTAATGGAAGATCGAATAATGGGGGGCATTCTAGCCGGGGGAATTCGGTTAATGGGCGGCAGGAGTCTCAATGTAGTGAAGAATCGGAATCGGGTGAGTTGAAATTAATTAATTTAAAAAAAAAAAAAGATTTCTGTAATTTTAGTCGGTATTAGTTTCGCTATTGAATAATAGATGTCGCTTTGGAATTAAATTTAAAGCATAAATAATTTTGCGACACACAACAGAACGATTAATTTGGTGGCTTCTTAATAAGTAGTATTATATCAATCAAAAATTGACTTTGACATTTCAAACCGAAAATATTAAAGGTTAACAACTTCATGGTGATCATTTCAACTTTAATTTTGATGTATTCGTAATCTTTATTAAATAACCTTTAAAATGAGCCCAAACATGACGCACTTATCTCAAAAAACAAAAAAGTTAGAATAAAAAGCATTAAATCCGAAGTTGGCAACAATGAAGTTAGCAACATAATTTTTAAATATTAATACCAACCTCAATTTTAGAGATTTTTTCTTGTATTTTCGTTTTTTATGAAGAATTATATTTGTTTTAAGACATTTCGATAAAATTACGAATATGTCAAAATTGACGTTGACATTTCTAACCGGAATTTGACCATAACTTTATTAATATTGAAATAAAATGTGTCGTGTTGGTACTCATTTTAAAGGATTCTTAACGACGATTACAAATATGTCAAAATTGAGGTTGACATTTTAAACCAAAAGTTCAAAGGTTGACAACTTCATGGTGTTAATGTCAATATTAATTTTGATGTATTCGTAATCGTTATTAAATAACCTTTAAAATGAGCCCAAACATGACGCACTTATCTCAAAAAACAAAAAAGTTAGAATAAAAAGCGTTAAATCCGAAGTTGGCAACAATGAAGTTAGCAACATATTTTTTAAATATTAATACCAACCTCAATTTTAGTGATTTTTTCTTGTATTTTCGTTTTTTATGAAGAATTATATTTGTTTTGAGACATTTTGATAAAATTACGAATATGTCAAAATTGACGTTGACATTTCTAACCGGAAGTTGACCATAACTTCATTAATATTGAAGTTAAATATGTCGTGTTTGTATTCATTTTAAATGTTTTTTAATGAAAATTACAAATATGTCAAAATTGACGTTAACATTTTAATCTTGAAGTTAGTAGTCGTATAATAGACAAATGGACAACTTCATATGATTCAAACAACGTATCACCCACATATTATTATTAGATTTATTTTTAATTATTTATTTGAGGTTAATTTAATTTTTTTGACATTCCAATGATTTATTAATTGAACGTATTCAAAGTCGATAATGCAGGAACTTCTTGTTACTCATTTTATTGAACGTATTCAAATTAGTTATTTATTTAAATTAATTTTTAAATAAATAATTATAAACGAATTAATCAAAAAAATTTTTCATTTCAAATAAATTAATTAATTTACATTAATAAAATAATAAATAATTACTTTAATTAAGAACGTGTCCAAAAGCCGATAAAGTAGATACGTGTCATTAAACGTCAATTTTTTTGTTGATTAATTAGCGTAAGTTTCTTCAAAAAAAGCTTATTTTATTAATATTGTCAACAAGTAAACATACGTGAAGGAAACATAGCATGTCCGAGACATAATAAGGTAAAAAAATATCGTAATATCGTCAATTTTGCAAAATTAGACATAACCATCCTTCCGGTTATGTCTAAAGTGACTCTTTTTAGATACTTTGTGTTGATACATCTACTGTGTTTGTGTTTCTTGACTTCAGTCTTAAATTTGTTGGTGTGTTTGTTTGTGACGTTTCTTTGTTTAAGAGTTATCTGTTTGATAGAACGCAGGCGGTGAAGGTTAAGTCAGAATATTTTGATTCTATCTTTGGTCCTAGCTTATTTATAATTTATTCTTAAAATTTATCTAGATTTCCAGGCTAGTGAGCAATCGGAAGCTTGTGATAAAGTAAAGGAATCTTCAAAATTCAATCTGTACCAGGCTGCTCGTTTTTGGAATTCGATTCTCGGTTTTGCGGTTCAAACTCATTGTTTTGCGCGAGAGGTGTTTGATAATTTTTGTAATCAATGCCACTTTTGCCTTTTCTGCTCTTGTGTACCCATTGAGCTTGAATTGAATATTTATTTGTTTAGTTGTTTTATATTTTATTTAGGGCAATAAAGTATTATTATTATTAAATACGATTTTTTTTATAATTCCTTTTCAAGTTTTGTTACAATATTTGATCAGTTTACAATAATTAGTTATAAAATATAAAAAATTATTTTTCGAAATATGGGGCGACATCTGTTGGGCAGTTACAAAGCGTTTATAAGATTAGTTTTGTTATTGAATGATAGATGTCGCTAGATAATTGTTTGACATTAGAAGGTATCATTAATTCATATTTCCCGCCAAATTACTCCTGGTATTTTAATTTATCTCCTCGATTTCCTCAAAGATTCGCGAAAAATTTTCAGTTTTAAGTAGGTCAAGGTGAATTAGAGGTCATTCAAGGTGAACTCAAGGAGACATAGTTAAAGTTTTGAGAAAAATTTTCAGTTTTAAGTAGGTCAAGGTGAATTAGAGGTCATTCAAGGTGAACTCAAGGAGACATCCTCAAAGTTTTGAGAAAAATTTTCAATTTTAAGTAGGTCAAGGTCAATTAGGGGTCATTCAAGGAAACATTTTGAAACTTTTTAGTAAAATTTATTCAAAAAAACAGAAACCTTTAAATTTCATTTTTCAATCATCTCAATAGATGGCACATTTAATTTAAAATTAACAATAAAAATAATGTTATAAGATTAATAATAATTTATATTAAATATGGATTAATTTTACAAAAAAAAATTGTTTATTGCATTCCAAATTTCTATGGGATGTAGCAAAACCGGGTTTTTCTTCGATTATGTCTTCTTCTTAATCCTATTATGCATCGCAAAGAAATCGTCTTACTAAAAAGAGGAAAAAATAATTACTTGTCATTACCAAATTATTTAAAATTCGCTGATTGAGTAAAAGGAGCCGAGGTCGCTTGCGGCCGAGGCATTAGGTCTTACAACACTAACGATTTTTTGTTAATTTATCATTGATGAATGATTAAAGCGATCTCGGCGATGTTGGATGATATCGTTTATCTTACAAAATGAATTAAACGTACACATTTACACAAGAAATTGTTTATCCTCACTTCGCCGAGGTTGCTTGCGGGCGAGGCACTAGATTTTCCAAAATTAATGATTTTTTGTTGATTCATTAAAATTTTTCACCCATATTCGCATTTAAAATACATTTATATGCTGGCCAATAAATTGACTCATAGGATAATTTATCACTTCTTCTGATGTTTAAAATGTCAACCTCAATTTTGAAATATTTGTAATCTTTATTAAAAAACCTTTAACCCTTTGTGTCCCAAGAAGTCAAAAATGTTGAAACTTTGTAACAGAATCAAACAGAATTAAAACGCTATTAAAATACACTTACTAAAGATCTTTGGAATCAATTTTAGCAAAATATACAATTCCCCTATTTTCACACAATTTAAGTGTCAAAAAAGATGCTAATTCAAAAATTCCTGGAAGCCGTGTTTATTGAAATTAAGGAATGAATTTTATTTTAAATTAAAGCTCAAAGCTTTCTCTTTAAAATGATGTGTAATAATTGTTGGTTTGAATTGGAAAAATATTGAGAAAAAAAATGTTGAAACAAAACTTACATTTTTGTATAACCTAAAAATGTCAAAAAAGATGCTAATTTAAAAATTCCTGGAAGCCGTGTTTATTAAAATTAAGGAATGAATTTTATTTTAAATTAAAGCTCAAAGCTTTCTCTTTAAAATGATGTATAATAATTGTTGGGTTGGATCGGAAAAATATTGAGAAAAAAAATGTTGAGTTAGAACCAACATTTTTGCTTAATCTATATAATGTCAGAAAGGGTGAAAATTAAAAAACTGGTAAAAACTCTGTTTATGGAAATAAAGAAATGAGATTTGTTTTAAATTAAAGCTTGAAGATTTATCTTTAAGATGGTGTATAATAATCATTGGGTTGGATTATAAAAATTTGATGAAAAATGAGATTGATTTAGAACCAACATTTTTGCTTAATCTATAAATGTCAAAAAAAGGTGAAAAATTAAATATTCTTGACAATTTTGTTTATGGTAGTAAAGAAACGAGTCATATCTTGAATTAAAGCTTAAAAATTTATCTTTAAAATGGCGTGTAATAATCATTGGGTTGGATTATAAAAATATGGAGATAAAGGACATTGAGTTAGAACCAACAATTTTGTTTAATCTATAAAAGAAGTGACATATACATGTATATATATATATATATCTTCTTAACCTTAATAATGGACCATAAAGACTAGATCCATAACAAGATTGAACCCAATTATTACCATTTTTTATTTATAAGCTCTAAATCGATTAAACATCAAAATTGTTGAAAATTAACTCAATCATAACTCATAAACTAAAAGCGATGGGGAAATATTTTTTATACATAAAACCTTAGTAATGGACCATAAAGACTAGATCCATAAAAAGATTGAATCCAATTATTACAATTTTTTATTTATAAGCTCTAAATCGATTAAACATCAAAATTGTTGAAAATAACTCAATCATAACTCATAAACTAAAAGCGATGGGGAAATACTTTTTATACATAAAACTTTAGTAATGGGCGATAAAGACTAGATCCATAACAACATTGAACCCAATTATTACCATTTTTTATTTATAAGCTCTAAACCGATTAAATATCAAAATTGTTGAAAATTAACTCAATCATAACTCATAAATTAAAAGCGATGAGGAAATATTTTTTAAACATAAAACCTTAATAATGGACCATAAAGACTAGATCCATAAAAAGATTGAACTCAATTATTACCATTTTTTATTTATAAACTCTAAATCGATTAAACATCAAAATTGTTGAAAATTAACTCAATCATAACTCATAAACTAAAAGCGATGGGGAAATATTTTTTATACATAAAACCTTAGTAATGGACCATAAAGACTAGATCCATAAAAAGATTGAACCCAATTATTACCATTTTTTATTTATAAGCTCTAAATTGATTAAAAATCAAAATTGTTGATTTTCGAAAATTAACTCAATCATAACTCAAAAACTAAAAGCGATGGAGAAAAACTTTTTATACATAAAACTTTAGTAATGGACCATAAAGACAAGATCCATAAAAAGATTGAACTCAATTATTACCATTTTTTATTTATTAGCTCTAAATTAGTGAAATATCTATATCTGGGCCTCAGAGCAAAAGAAAAAGGAAGTTTACTTTAAACCCTTCGGTCGATCTTGGCAAGACATTTATATAAAAAGTCGATCTTGATCAAAAATTAGTGGACAACACTATTCTATAGGTACTTTCATTTTAGTTTTTTCAAATCAAGAATTTTTCTTGTTTATTTGCAGGTCATGGAATTCTAGAATTTTCAACGGATAAAGCCGGACAAGACGTGACTCCGATCAACTTGGATTTTGAAGAGAAGAAACGATCAACAACCTTAAACTCAATAACCGGTGAGTTTGAAAAAGTGAAATGATTAAAAATGTGTGTTTTGTCGATAATAATCCACAAAATGAAGGTAATTGAAGTAAATTTTTGATTATTGCTTGGTGGAGAGAAAAAAAAGCAATTATTTGGCGAAACAATGTTGTTACCTAATCGAATGTCCTCTGTAGGCATGTTATCCCAACTGAAACGAAGTATCCCCGACCTAAGGTTACACAAAACGCACCAACCCCTCATCGGTAAGTTTTTTGTTGTTGAAACGTTACAAAAAAAAAGCATTAAATTAAATTAAATTAAATTAAAAATGTTGTTGTATTTTTTGAGTATTATTTAAAATAGATTTGTTAGCAAAAGAAAATAATTCCCACTTCTTCTCCCGAGTATTTCAACGTTAATTATGTATGTATTAAAATCGTTCTAATAGGGTAGAAAATAGAAAATCCCATTTCTCTTTAATATAATTAGAAAGAACACTTTTTAGAGAATTTAGATTCGTTTAAAATTTAAAATTTAAGGCATTACGAAGTTAAATAAAAAAAAAATGATTGAATTAATTTCTATTTTAGCCCAATCAACTCCTCCATCAACCCACCGCATTCGTACAATTCGTCGCCAATCTTCGATAGGAGCCTATCAAGATCAATCTCATCAACTCCACGCGCAACAGATTCAACAACAACAACAACAACATCCGGCCAGCAATCAAAACTCCTCAATTCCACTCTCCTCGAGCACCAGTTATTACACAAACAGTCCGAGTCCCCCGAACGGCGATCACAGTTCTTCGGGAGGCGCGAGATCCCAAGATCAAAGCGGCGTTTTATTGGAGGAGCATCATTTGCACCATCATCACCATCACAATCAGCTGTCGCAAAATCAAAATCAATCGGACGTGACGAGTGCGGCGCAAAACAATAACGGGGAGTTATTAACTCAAGGACAATGCTTCATACATTCCAATAGTAGCGCGAACGGCGAGGCTATCATGGTCGTTAGTAGGAGTCAATTCGAGGAGATTTCCGGGAAATTGGATTTGTTGACGAGGAGAGTCCAAAGTTTGGAGAGTACGTTGGCGAGCGACGTTCGAACTATACTCGGATTACTTCAACAGACGGAAAGAAATGGTGAAAGAAGTGTGGGGTTGCGAGATGCTGTTGTTAAATCTGAAGTAAGTTTTTTTTTCCTGATTATTATATAACAAAAAGTAAAGTTATCTTTATTCGAAGTATTTATGTATTATTAGAAGCCGAGGTAGCTTTGCTGCCGAGGCAGTGGCTCAAGTATTGCATAGCAATATGAAAAGATTTGTCTAAAATGCGAATGTAGAGTGTTGGTAGCCGAGGCAGCCGTATTACCGAGGCAGGAATTGAAATGTTTGTATATTTTGATATATTAATGTATATATTATTAAAAACCGAGACAACAATGTTTATATATGTTGATATATTAATATTAATAATATTACTAAAAGCCGAGGCAGCTTTGCTGCCGAGGCAGTAGCCCAAATATTACATAGCAATATGAAATGGTTTGTTTTTAGTATTGATGTAATGTTAGTAGCCGAGGCAGCCGTGCTACTGAGGCAGGAGCTAAATTGTTTATATATGTTGATAGATTCATGCACATAATATTAACAATATTATTAAAAACCGAGGCAGCAACGCTGCCGAGGCAGTAGCTAAATTATTTATATA